ACAACAGGATCATGTCATCTGATTGCAGTTGCAGCATATAAAAATTCCAATCTATAGCACCAAAGACTTGAGCATATGAGTGAAAAAGGGATGAATATCATACACATAAAAGGAAAATTACCAAGTCTCCGTCAATAGCAATTGACATGTGTGAAGATTGTATACTTGAAAAGCAGAAGAGACTCAGCTTTCAGACAAGTAAAAGAACTCCAAACAAGGAGAAGCTTGAGCTCATTCACTCTGATGTTTGGGGTCCAACAATTGTCCTATCCGTTGGTGGGAAGCAATACTTCATGACATCTATCAATGACCACTCCAGAAAAGTATGGGTTTACTTTACAAAACACAAGTCTGAAGTATTTGAAGCTTTCAAGATTTGGAAAGCAATGGTGAAAAATGAGAGAGGATTGAAGGTTAAGAAGCTCATATCCGACAATCTTGGTGAATATGTAACCACCGGATTCACGAAGTTTTTCTATTAGCATGGTATCAGAATGAAGAAAACTGTGCTTGACACGCCTCAACACAATGGTGTAGATGAGCATATGAATTGAACGTTGACTGAAAAAGCCAGACGCTTGCGTGTGCAGTCAGGCCTACCAAATCAGTTATGTGCAGAAGCAGTCAACATAGCAACTTACTTGATCAACCGAAGTCCATCGGTACCATTGGATCTTAAGTTACCAGAAAATGGTGAAACGGAAAAGAAGTAAAACTCTCAGATGTTAGAGTTTTCGAGTGTGTAGCATATATACACATTAGTGATCAAGGAAGAAACAAAATTCATCCAAAATCAAAGAAATGTATTTTCTTTGGTTACGATGAATATGAGTTTGGTTACTTCATATGGGATGATGAAAACAAAAAAATGATCTGCAGCAGAGATGTAATCTTCAATGAAAGGTTGATGTACAAGGACATGCATAATACAGGTGCAACGAATGGGCCAGTTTATGCAGAGGTGGAAGATATCCCAGAAAGTCCTTAATGAGAAATCCTCAATCAGAGGAATCAAATGAAGAAAATTATGTGCAATCAGAACCTCATACTCCAACTCTTGTATTGAGAAGGTCCTCTCGACCTCATGTGCCTAACAGAAGATATATGGACTACATGTGGAAAAGAAAGCACTTCACAATAAATGGGTGTATCGGTTGAATGAAGACCAATGGTTCTAGTAGAAAGAAAGAGTTGACTATACAAAAATCTTTTTCTCATGTTGTAAAGCTAAATACTATCAGGATCTTGTTAAGTATTCTGGCTAGTGTAGAGATCTATCTAGAACAATTGGACGTGAAGACTACATTTCTTAATGGAGACTTAGATGAGGAGATCTAGATGCACCAACCTGAAGGTTTTTCAGAAGGAAATAAAGATATGGTGTGAAAATTGAAGAAGAGTTTGCACGGCCTGAAACAAGCTCCAAGACAGTAGTCTAGGAAGTTTAAAAGCTTCATGCACAAATAAGGTTTCCAGAAGTGCAATGGTGATCACTATTGTTTCCTTAAGAAGTATGAGTCCAACTATAACATCTTGCTAATTTGTGTTGATGACATGTTAGTAGCGGTATAAGATATAAAAGATAGCAGAAAATTAAAGATGCAGTTGTAAAAAGTATTTGGCATGAAGAACTTAGGCCCAACAACGAATATTTTTGGAATGCAAATCACGAGAGATAAGAAAAAGGGATTTTTGCAGTTATCTCAAGCAGAGTACATCAACCGTGTTTTGTAGAGATTTGACATGGACAAGGTCAAACTAGTCAGTACACCTTTGGCTAGCCATTTTCATATATCCAAGGACCAGTCTCCTCAAACAAAGGAAGAAAAAAAGTTCATGGCTAAGATTACTTATGCTTCAACCATCAGAAGTTTGATGTACGGGATGGTCTGTACGACGGACGACATTGACCATGCAGTAGGAGTTGTCAGCAGGTTTATGTCAAAACCAGGAAAATCTCATTGGGAAGTAGTCAAATGGATTTTGAGATATCTACAGGGCACAACAGAAAAATGTATGTATTTTAGAAAATGAGGTCTAAAGTTACAGGGCTATGTCGATGCAGACTTTGGAGGTGAAGCTGATCACTTATGTTTTCACTGTCGGAGCTACAACTAATGATGGATACAAAAATTGTTGATCTATCCACTATAGAGGTTGAGTATGTAGCAGTAACAGAAGCCAGTAAAAAATTGATGTGACTTCAATGATTGTTAGCAGCGTTGGGTTTCTCTCAAGAAATGAGTGTTTTGCATAATGATAGTAAGAGTGCAATACATCTGGAAAAGAACTCAACATTTCATTCTAGAACTAAGCACATTGATATACGCTATCAGTTCATCAGATCTCTGCTTGGAAATAAAGTGTTAACTTTGAAGAAGATTGTAGGAAGCAAGAACCCGGCAGATATGCGAACGAAGGTGGTGACCATTGACAAACTGAAGTTGTGTTCAACTTCAGT